TGTCGACGATGTCCGTTATTTCATCCTTGCCATGCCAAGGGGATTTTCGATCATAGAGCTATGATCACTCTCCGTACCGAGGGTGATGAACTGGAATTTGACCCCACCCAGGATGGAGTCACTTGTGGCCTTTTCACAGGCTCGAAAGCTGGGTTTAGCATCGGCAACTCGAGAAAGTGTGTCACTGCTCTGCACCCTGGTCTACTGCAGAGTGATTTGACAATGGGGGAGACAGCGGTGGTAGCTGAGACCTTCCGCCATTACTTCTTCAATGCCGGGGGTCAGTTCCCACCAAAGGATTTCAGAGCTCCAGGGTGGATCCACTCTGCACCAGGCAATACACTATTTTGGTCTCGAATCACCGAGTTTGTACTAGAAGAGAACTCTGACCTACAAGATACAGAGTTATATACTGCTATCAGAGCCACACAGTTTGGCCTCAAAATTAATGTGGCACAATTCCAGAGCATCCTTGAGCTCTACTACCCCGAGAGTGGCACGTTCTTCACTCCTAACGGAGAGCTAGGCCTCGCGCTACATGAAATGTACGAGGTCTCAGGATTGTCAATAGGGGAGCTCCTGCATGAAGAGTGTTAGGTCTCATGTTTATGAGTCTACTATCTAATCTAGTTTTGATAATTAACAAACAATTCCTAACATCGATTTGTTGAGTGTTTTGTATTTGCTTGTTAGGTATTCTACAAAAAAATCTTATGTTAGAGATTGGATGAAATTAAGCTTAACGATGACATTCAAAGGAGGTTGGCGAATACCAAAATGAAGCAATGATGAATTCAAAGTCAAATACAAGATCAAGCTTCATCCACAACCAAGTTGAGCTACTATTGAAGACCTATAGTTTGGGTATATTAGTTTAGGAATTTATACTTTGTGTGTTAATGCTTAAATCTCAAATATTACACACATACACGTTTTGGTTTTTATAGCTTTCAAGTTTAAATAAATATGAAACAAATATACTTGTTTATATACATACATATATGTTTCATATTTATCATTTTTGTTTATTGAAAATAATGTGTTTAGCCACATAAATATAAAACAAATGAATACAAATTGTATACACTCATATTCATTTCATGTTTATATGTGCTTGATATGATTTCATTGAAATCAAGATTTGAAATCATGTTTATTGTTTTGAAAGATTGCAAAATATGTGTATTTTTTATAAAACTTTGTGTTATTGATTTATGGACTAAATAATCTTAGTTTACATCTTTTATTTAGTCTCTAAATCCATACAAGAGTTTTCAAAACTTTGTTTAAGTCAAAATATCAAAAACAAGTGTCTTGACATTTTGTATTTTGACCTAGTTTGCAAAATGATGAGTTTTCACAATGGAAAGTAAAATTTAAAAAAATTCTTTTTGTAACATGTTCATTTTCATGTTTATAAACATTTCTCAAAGTTTTACATTTTTAAAATTTGTTTGATATTTTTAAACAATGTTTAAAGTTGATGCTTACTGTTCATATCAGGTCATGTGTACGTTTTAAGTCGACTTGCTACAATACCAAGTCGACTTATAAAGTGTTGCGTAGATGGTGTTTTTAATCTACTGAGTCGACTCATAATATAACAAGTCAACTTATACTATATAAGTCGATTCATACCTTTCATAAGTCGACTTACAATAGAGTCATTGCGCAGTAACGACTAGTTTCCAGATTTTTGTTGTTTTGTAATTTTTGTTAATTTTTGCTAGTTTTTTGAGCTTTGTTTTCCCACCCTATATATACCCCTTTACCATAAACATTCTAACTAACTTAAGAAAACTTTTAAACAAGTTTACTAAGGTTTTAAGGGTGTTTTTGAGTTTGTTTTACAAATGTTTATGTGAAGAAGTTTTCACAAGAGGAGGAGATCATTTCTTTCGTGTTTGGACTTCAATCTCAATCTCTCTCACTCTTGATTTTTAGAAAAGTTTTGCTAAACTCAATCTATATTTATATTAGTTGTTGATTATCATTTATATTAAGCTAGATTATATATTGAGTTTGCATTTTATTATACTCATTGCTTACACACTCAACTCACTTGAGCTTTTGGTATTTTCACATATTATATATTTTGAGTTGTAGGGATTGTAATATTGAGAGTGAGCTTCATTAAGTTCTCATCCATTATAGAGAACAAAACTTGTATTTGAGCCTTAATTATGAGATCACATTGTAATACACAAGGACACCGAGAGAAGTGGTTGGGAGAGACGGGGTCAATTCCAAGAGGAGTGACGTCAATAGTAAAGCCTAGGGAGAGGTGGTATATCCAAGTACTTGAGAAAGGTGACACAGGCTAGGCCAACACTTAGAGGGTGTATTATGTAGTTATAAGTGTGAGAGTTGTAAGAGTTTTCGGTAAGCTAGAAAACCGATTTGTGTGGAGTTGTAAACGTTTTCGGTGAACGTTGAAAACCGGTTGTGATAGTGGAGATTCTCCTCGTGAGTGAGGAGTGGAGACGTAGGTCAAGAGTGACCAAACTCCGTGATCATATTGTGTGTTTGAGTTTACCTTGGCGTATTATTTGTGCTCATTGCTTATTGCTTTCTATATCGCCATTATCTCATGTTTATATCACCCTTGTTTTAATTACATATCATTGCATATAATTTTGTTGTATATCATAATTGCTAGGATAATTGTTAATAAGTTTTAATTTAGCATTAATATCAAATTAGATTAGCATATACCCTACTCACCCCCCTAGGATAATTTCAAAGAGTACGTCCCCGGACAAGGGAGATTGACTATCTCTCACACAAATTTCCCCAAGTGGTTGAGACTTTTTGGGTGTTGCTCTGCCACTACCACATATGCCTGCATAATGTCGAGGCGGTAGACCATGTGGGCAAGAGGAAGATGAGCCAAGGGATCAGTCACAATAATTGAGCCGATTATTTGTTCCAAAACACTGACGATAAGACAAGGCATATTCTGCCCCTGGGTGTTTGTGATGAGACGATGGTGGCGAAGAGGATTTTTGACTGTAAGTCGATTTTGGACACCCTCGAATCTGATAAAGGAGGGTTCAAGGCAGGAACAACTTTCTAATCTTTCCACCACCAAGTTAAAGTCCCTATTTCCAACAAGGCCCTGCTTGTCGGGTACTTGATGTTGTGGCTAAAGAGATGTGTGGTTCCCACACACTCTTAGTTGAGGTCATCTACCTCGCAGTTCGTTTGGCTCACAGACGATCCTACGCGCTACTTCCTGCTATGGTAGCGTGTATCCAGAGCAGGTTACGTAATCTGACAACACAATTTTGCAAAGTGTCGTATGTTGAGGGACATGATGGAGAATAAGTGGCTAAGACTACCAACCCACGCGTCAACCTACCGTACACTTACCTAATGACTTGGTTCGTGATGCACTGCGAATGTTTGATGAGTGCACCGGCAGTGTGTCGGGAATGAAAGATGATTCCCTTCATTTAGCGATTGGAGCGATGCTCATGGAAGTACAACTACATCGCTGAAATGAGGAAGGCTCTCTCCTATTTCAGCAATTACAATTTCTATCGGTGCTTCCCCTACTTTTCAGATGGGGGATATAGCGACTCTTTTATGGACGTGCCAGCGGCTGATAATTATAGTTCACTATCCTTGGGCAACTTCTGTTGGCTTGTCAACATCCGGCCGGGCTATCATATCTTCAGAACGGGCTCGATCTGTCACATAGAGCCCTATCCCATGCCCCGGTTCGCCTGCCACTCGCCACCCATCAGCCACCCGCCGTCCCGCCCGCCGCACCGCGGCCACCCTCCACCCAGGTCGCGCCACCACCGGCCACCGCCGCCGCCCTGTCGCGCCACCCGTCGGCCTTCCCACCGTTCTCCCATCGGCGACCACCGGCACCCCGCCGCACCGTCGACCCGCCGGCCGGCCCCACCGTCGCCCGCCGTCGGGCCGCGCCAGCCACTCGCTGCCTACCCGCTCGGTGCCGACAGTCATCATTCGCTCGCCCACCTCAAACGGCCGCGGCACCCGGACTGTCGCCCGCCGTCGCCCACTCACTGCCGCTATATAAATGGTCAAACTAGTTTGACCAAAATAGTATTTTCAAAACATATTTGAAAAAAAAAACATCATGGCATTATGTTTTTTACAAAAACACAACAAAAAAACACATTGATTACTAAACACACTCTTATGTTTTGGAAAATGAGTTTCTCGATATTTTTAATAGCTGAACAAACGAATCAGAAAACATTTTATCAAAACATTTTCTCGGGTCGCAACCATTTTCCATGCTTTTATACTCCAGCCAAACTGCCCCAAATACTGGATATTGATACGCGAGAGAGAGAGAGAGAGAGAGAGAGAGGAGAATGAGTCTTCGACGGGGCTTCGGCGTCGAAGACTCGAGAACTCGTGAGCGGATTTGGGGTAATTTTACCTATTCTCGTTAATTCTCATCCTTTATCGCATCTTCCTATATAATTGCTCGATTTTAATGTTTTCGAATTCTGAGTATAAATCATCAAATTTTAGTTTTAATCGATGCTTCCATAGACAATGGCAGCTCTGTTCTTCTTGAAATCCCAACCTTCTGAATTTCGTTCTTATGTATATATCCGTATCTGTTCTTTATCGTACTGAGATTTAGGGCAACTTTCGTTTATTTTGGGTTAATGCAGCCTCATATATACTTTACAATCCAGTGATAACCAAAGTTTGTTTATTTTCCTCCACATTATGATGCGATCTTCTCTATGTTCTATTGCTTTATATTTAGAAACTTCTGTTTTTGTAGAGGAGGGTTTCTTTTAGGGCCAGCAATTTCCTCTTTTAGCTTCAATTTGCTCCGTGTTTAACTGTTTATCAATGTGCTTTCATCTCTCTAACTCTTCACTTCTGAGAGTAGGAATTCCTTTTCCTTTTTTTATAATAGAAAACATGGGAGGGTTTTAACTTTTATATAAGCAATGGAGAACGAAGCTGATAATGCTCTCAACCTTCAAACAGGAAGATCAGTCTGTTAAAAAATAAAGTCTAAATGTGTGACTATATATCTCCAAAAATCAGCTGAAGTAACTCACTGTAGCTTCATTAGATGTCAATTATGCTCCAAAAGAGTACACAAATCAAGTTCATGACAGCAGAAAAAACCAGCCCAGGATCTCCTCAATTTGCTTAAATGAACTAGGTATTGTTTACTGTTGTATCCCCTTTATAGTTCTTTCACATTTATTAATTGTGTGTATTTGCATGTTTGAGTAAACATCAGAATTGTTGTGACGAGCAAGTTAATTCTTCTGTTCTACTTCTTTTATCTTGTACATGATACACTCAGGGGTACAGAGATGCGCTTTTAGAGATCCGTTCATTGAAGTTGAACTATAGCCATGAGATGGCAAGACGTGAGGCTTTTGAAGCCTCCTGCAATGCTCTCAGGACAGGTTAGTAGAACTTACCTCATCAGTTTGATTAAGGAAATTTTTAGATGGTTCTTCCTATCTTTTTTCTTCGCGATTCATCCACGGGAACACATCTTAGACGGTCATTTTCCCGTATAAAAGAAAAAGTTCAATAAAAAAATTTCAGCTGCTTTTTTTTCCTTTTTCTTCATTTTCCTAGATTTGTATGTGGGATGTACCTTACCTACTAAACATTGCTCTACTAGAAATCAGTCTTCTATATAATTCCTAAGGGCCTTCTTTTGTTGTTATTGTGAGCTTGACAGGTTTTATTGTTAGACTTGGTGCAATTGATTAAAGAAAAATAACCTTCTGCCAAATTGTATTCCCTTATAGTTTTCTCCTCTAGTTTTCTCCTCCCGAGTTAAAGGTACTCTTTTTGAGAAAATATGGTGGGTAAAGATAAAATCCTCCGTTGCTTCATTAATAAGAATTTAACAAAACATCCCGAGAAAGCCAAAAGCATGCTGAAGCAAAAAAGAGTTAAAAAGGGTCTTTCCTGTGACAGTAATACAAGGTTCTGCATTAAGAAAATACTCGAGAGTCAGAATGTTTTCTGCAAGATTGTAGTGTTTAGGAAAAATGAAGATGAAAGGAAGAGGTGGGAAAATTTTCCTTTCCCTTTCTGACATATAGCTCCTGGTGTCATTGTGTTCACTGAACTACTTCTCTCACAGAAAATAAAAAGAGGAAGATGATAAAAGATATCATCATACTCATCAACAACAAACTTTTATTCCCAAATCTTCGGCTTACCTACAGGCTACAGGAATTGCTTTCGAGTACAGGAATGGAAAAAGACCCTGAATATTCTTTGAAGCCAATCAAACAAATGAACAACACACTAGAGTACTAGACATGCAAGTGAGTGCGAGCACTTTTCCATGCTCCACTCCTACACACACATTTATGTATGTTTGCCAGTGTGCACTAGCCACTGTAAATATTGATAAAACATTGTTAACATTGAACCTAATTAATAACATGTTTTATAAGTTCTGCGGAATACTCACTGCTTAAGTATGCCTCGGGGAAAGTTGGAATACATATATTTGATGGCAACACTATGTTTGTAGTGATGGTTTTTAGTTTTCAGCACCTGAGGACCGTGCGTGTGCGTGCGTGCTGGCGTTGATGGGGCTTGGTGGGCGGGTGGGGGAGGATGTGGTTGGGCGGTGTTTGGAGTGAATGTGCGTTTTTTTTTTATTCTGTGTTGTGTGGGGGTGGGTTGGGGAAGATTTTGGGGGAAAAAAAAAGACGGAAACATGATAAATGTAAACGTTTGTGCTTACATTTGCTGCCCTGTTCCCTGATGTACCAACTAGAAAAAGTTTGGACCTCACTGAAAAGCTTGACTTGAGTATGTTTCTAAGTCTGTATTTGCTTATCAGATTGCCTTGCTTGAGGCATGTTGTTAGGTCAAAAATGTGTGATAGTCTATATTCAATACTATACCTGAAAACACTAGTAATGTATGATGGAAAAGAAAATAATACTGAAAAAAATTCCTAGGAGAGAAATGATATGATTTGAGCTTGACTGTTTACGGGTATTAAACCTGAGAGTTCTATGCTATGGTACACTTCCATTCTGCTAACAGTGCTTTACTGTTGTGAACTAAGTAGTTGAAGAATGATGATTTTTTAGATACAGATACTGACCACTGTATGGACTGGATGCAGATAATGGACGCTTGAGAAAGTTGTATGCTGAATCTTTGACCAAATTAACAAGCCAGGTATTATCATTTTTGTTTGGCAAGTGACAAGAGAAACACGATTGCTAGTTATTTCTCTATATCTTTGTACACGTATGTAGCTGCATCCCTTTCATCATTAGAACTGTCAGAGTCCAATTATGAAACCTTGGTGAGTGATTCGTTAGAATATTTCTATGTAATGGTGCATTTTCAAGTTGCAAAATGATATTCAGTTTTTCTAGTATCATCACGAGTCGACTATTAGTATACTTAATTTTTTTGAACTTAATGGTGGATTGTTGATGCAAATTATGAACTGCAACTCTCTCGTCGCAGTCACATTCTCACCATCTCTTCTACTTGCTATTTATGAAAGCGTATTGAAAATTACCTAGGCCAGTAGTGTTATTTGGTCATGGAGGAATATAGTGGTCCGAGTTGTTGATTCGTCGAGTGTAATGAGGTGAAGGAATGTGATTGGAACAATGTAGTGCAATTCGTTGACAAAGTGCTAGGGCTATTTCATAATTCACTGACAAAGTGCTGGGCATGAAAAAAAAAACATTTCCTTTTGGTTGTTTCGCAATTCACTGACAAAGTGCTAGAGCATGAAAAAAAATACTTCTGGTTGTTTCACTTCTGAAACACCTCTAAACTATCCATCGATGCACCTGATGATATTTTCTTCTCTAGCTTTTACTTGATTGTAATGTTTTAAACATTAGAAATTGTTACACATCAAATATCAATGTGAAATTGAATGAATAGGTGACTGGTACTTCACATTTTTATATGTGGCTGCATGACACTAGATCTATTCATTGTTAGTTGCTAATTGTATTTTAATCATTACCTTAAGACAGATTAAACATCACAAGAAATGCCAAAGCTTGAAGGAGGAACTAGGAAAAACAAGTGAGAGGTTGCTTACTCTAAAAGATGTAAGTCACCTAAATTCACGACTGATGTATGGCGGATTACCATTATAAGGGATGTTATCATTCGAACAGGAGTATAGGAAAACTATAGAAATGCTTGATCAAGAGAATGAAAGGAAAATCAATGATCTAGAAAAGCAGATCAGGTAACTATTTTCTATTTTAGAATCTCTTATCTTGTTTATGTTGAATTCGGTAATTTAATTTCATTTCAACCAAAAGCAGCTGCTATTGTCTTCAAAGAGCATCAGATGAAAATGTCATAAAGAAACTCCAACAAGAATTATCTGCTCATGAAACTCAAATATACAATCTGACTCGCAACTTGGAAGAGGTCACTGCTAATGTGGATTTTAAATGTAAGAATTTGTTCTTTATTTCAGAATATTTTTATTCTGATTGTATCAAACTGTTGATGGGTTTCTTCCTTTATGCTAGACAATCGTGAGATGCAAGAATTGAAGGATTGGATTATAGTTGAACAAGAGGAGAAAAAGCAGCTGTACAAGAAACTCCAAGACGCAGAAAATGAGTGTAAGCACACTAAAGAGCAGTTACAATTTACAAACTTAATTTCATCCTCTCTTTTTTAATGAAATTGTCATTCTTAGTCGACTGATTTAATTTTTTGGAACCTTTGTATTTGTTAACCTACCTGCTTCTGTGCCTCTAGATAAATTTTACTTTTGCACAGGGCACACTGAATTTTCATTATACTTCTCTTTGGGAGGCAAAATGATGAGGCAATGCTCACTCGCATTTCAAAAAAAGAAGCACACATTTGTTTATACAAGCAAACTAGAATCTGAATCTTCTGATAATAAGAAAGTACAGAGGAACAATTGTGTCTATAAGGCCTGCCATAACAATGAAATGACAGAGGAACAATTGTGTCTATAAGGCCTGCCATAACAATGAAATGACCAAGTAGACGCCTCAGTTGATGATACAAAGTAATACAACCCTTGACCTTTCCCATGAACCCGAGAAAACCAAGTAGACGCCTCAGTTGATGATACAAAGTAATACAACCCTTGACCTTTCCCATGAACCCGAGAAAATAGGCCCGTATCTCTACTCATGTTGCTTGTATCTATGTAGTCTTCTAGCTGATTGGTGTCCAAGCATCTGGATAAATGTTGGTTGCCTCCTAATTACCTGCAGAGAGAGATTTATCACCTTCCTAGTGTCAAACCTGGTCACACACATGCCCAGCGGATGGAACTATCATATGTGTACTGATTTGCTGCTTTGGCTTCTTTGCTCCATATATGCCTTGAGTCTCCCCAGTGTATTTTTATTCTAGATGAAACTTAACGGATTAGTTGAGCCTGGATAGCCTTCAGTACTTTTTAACCTGTGCCAACACACAGAACTGGAGAAGAACGTTCTGTATTGTATCAAGACTGCAAATGTAATTGATCAACTTTGTGTGTCATAAGATTCAGCCTTGCATTTTCTTTTGCATGGGCTTTCCTGAGATCAAACACATTCTTACAAAGTTACCGGTAAGCAGGACTAGCGAACACGTGTTTAGGAAAACCAATGTTCAACGCTGGTGCCATACTACATTTTTTTTATTACACACGTATGTTTTGCCAAAGGGATCAACATGCCCAGGGAATATATTATTATAATAGGGAAGAAACAGAAACAGTTTTATCATATGACTGTACTGAGCTGTATATTTGTACTACTTTTACTGATTCTGGCATCAAATCATTCATATGAAATATTTGAATAGTGTTTCCTTTGTGTGATCTTTGCAGTTCAATTTTACTGGTTTAGCCGTCATATTGTATATATGCACATTAAGAACACTTGTATTTGCAACACAGAAGGAAATGCTTTGTCATACTTGAATGTCCCTCATTCTGTCATTTATTCAACACTATTGAACTGCATTTTTTTGGCGTATAGTGCAAACCATGAGAAATAAGCAAGCAGAACAACAAAGGGAGTCCATCTCTATCCGTCAAGTTGAAACGCTAAAGCAAAAGATTATGAGACTCCGCAAGTCCATCTCTATCCGTCAAGTTGAAACGCTAAAGCAAAAGATTATGAGACTCCGCAAGGAGAATGAGTCACTAAAACGGCAGAAAGTTGAAACGCTAAAGCAAAAGATTATGAGACTCCGCAAGGAGAATGAGTCACTAAAACGGCAGAAGCAAGGCTCAGATTCATGACAGTCTTCACAACCTCTCCCTTTTGTTATAACTCCCCCAGGTACATATCGGAAGCGAATACGCGTAGTATTTTTTAACTAATGTGAATATCTCTTCTTCTTTTTTCATTCCTTATTTTTGGACAACATGAATGATAGAGTTCATATGTTTACAACTTAACCTTTTACCTATAATCATTTGATATATGCTTCAATGTCAGCTTAGAAGTGCAACTGATGAGAATATTTTGGCAAAACACCAAAGCCCATGAGACTAGGATGCCATTATGCCATATAAAATTTGGGTACCCGCTGGTGCACCTCTTGTACGAGGAAACTGTATCCATTCTTTACCTTGTTCTCAAATAGTGAATATATACACAGACTGAGTTCATTCCGAGTGCTATTCAGATCTCTATTGGGTATCATGATGAGTTTATAGAATAATTCTATATTATGTTACGAATTTGTTTATAAATGTGTTGGAGTTAAATATTTGGTCCACAACTGAAGTATAACTAAGCATAACAATGTGTTGTAGAACATTATACAGCTATCACATCCATGAAGAATTCATATCCATGATTTTCTGAGACAATGTGTTTGTCGATCCCATATCTCATAGTACTTGATACTTGCATCTGATATAGTGTGATTTAGCTCGGTATCATCCTTACCATTGAACCAGGCCTTAGTTGGGGCGCCATAGGTACCTAAAACTGCGTATTCCCCTGTGTTTAATAATATTTGCAATATTGCTATAGAAATTTAAAACTCGCTGGAAAGCTATCAGCCTGCATTGCCTGCTCTGCTCATCATGGGAAGGTCACAAGTTTAAGTAGCCGCAAACACAAGTTTGGAAGTTAGAATCATCTACCTTATCAAAAAGGGGGTATGGAAGAAAATAAACTTAAGATGCTGTGGATTATATTACCATGAGCATACTAGCGCTCTATTTAATCGAAATAAATGATTATAAATTATACGTGAATGACGGAAGCTCTTTAGGAGTAGGCGATTTCACTATATAAACTAAATCAATCCTTGAAAATACATTGATAACATGTTTAATACAGTATAACAGTAGTTAACCATCTTCATATTCCTTTCTCTTCTTTTTATCCCACCGCAATTCATG